CGTTTGATGGAACTTTGTGGGCTCTACTATCTATGAAAGTGGTCTGCCTTGTAGAAGATGAGATAGACGTTGGCTTGTTGTAACAGTCACCGCTATCGTTGCTGTTGTTGTAGCTGGGATGCCTTCTTTCTAAACCGATTGGGTCACAGTAGGAGGGCATAGGCGCAGAATCATCAGAAATACGATGTCGCAGATACGACTTCCGAAGGACGGTGTTGTTGAAAATGGCGCGGCTAGTGGATTGGGTGCATTCTCCTGAGGGCAAAAAATAGTCCCCTTCATGTGTAGACAGCCACGGGTAGGTTTCCAGATCTCGCGAACTAGAGTTCGCCGGACTGGTGGAGGGGCCCCGTGACGAGGTAGTAGGTTTTGGCGGCAAGAGAAAGTCAACGGCATCACCGGCGACCGAACACTTGGTTCTCACATCGCTGATGTAGGGGCTACCACTAGAAGACCGGTCGGGGTTGCGGATGGCGGCGGTGGTGTCTGCAGGACACAAGTTTTGTGGCAAAGTTGGAGCAGGAGCAAAATCTCCGTCTCTGACAGGCACTGACTAACAGAACAAAAAATAGCAGACATGTCAGTCAAAATTGCGGAAAACTTCAAAAATGTGCTAAATCAATAGCACTGGACACTAGAAGTCGCTTAAAGACACGACAACGCCAATGCAACGAACGGAGATGGTCATTTTATTCAGTGCCAAGGATAACCGTCTTCGCGTCATCTGTGTGTAAGATATAATGGTAACCAGAACTAACCAACTTGTATTTCGACCACCACTGTCACCAGAACGTCGTGTTCATTTGTGTTTGTGGTAGTAAAACTGCATTTCAAAGTGTCATTCTCACTATGTCTTTTCATTCCTACCGAGTTTCAATTTTTAAATGAATTCAAAACGACGAGGAAAACTGGTTGAAGAATCTAAAAACACCATGAACGCGTACCACGCACGACCTGGTCTCTAACCCCATACAAAACAAAGTAAAATTAAAGAAAATAATCTTGGACTTCACTTACGCGGTGGTACGATAAAAAAAAACGTCGCAGTCTAGTCATCAGTTCTGTACAGGACACAGCTAGCCTTTCAGTTGACAAAGACAACTTTTGGTGCGTTATTGTAGTAAAACATGTGCTTAAGCGTTTACTGTGAGGAAAGTGGGATCGATTTTAACCTCTTTCCTCGGTTTAACCGCTTTCCCCGGTAGACTCGGCGGTGGCGGTCCACAGACAAAAGTGATTCGCGTTCTGGCGTAGCGCAGCAGCATCAAAAATTCTAGGGCCCATAATAAATACCCATGACTCTGTGTTGTTTCATTTGACCGGACACTTGTTCCCACTTGGAGGCAGTAAAAAGGTCGACCGAAAGCCGCCCAAATAGGTAGATGGTCACCAGACTCCTGGTTTTCCTTTCTTTGCCCATCACGTTTCACTCTTTCAAGCAGTTTTCTAATAGAACAGTTGATATTATTAATATGTAGATGCTATATGCAGTCGCGTAAGTTAATCAAGTCATTACATTATGCATGGTTCGTCGCCTTTATCTTCTATCAAATGTATTGTGGAAAAATGTTGTCCTTCGTTTTGCCCAGTTGTGAAAAATTCGACGGCCCTGGCGGGATTCAAACCCACACCAGTAAAGGAAAGGTTTTAGTAAAGCCAACGCTCTAGCCAACTGAGCTACGAGGTCCCACCAAAAGCCATTAATTTAATCACGTTTGGGTCGCCCAACCTACGGCAACGTATGGAATCTACCAATTCTGATACAGTAAACTGACTGCATGTACAGGATTTCCTAAGCAATCAATCTAGAATCCACTAGTCTCAATTAATTAATAAAGGGGTTCTGGCTGGTGTAGCAATTCACTTATGCATTCAAATTAATTATGCAAATCTGCCAAAAAAACTGTGAATGTTGTCTCCATCATTTCTATGGGTGGTTTCGTCCTAGCGGCAATTCATAGGCGCCTTGAAACCGAGAAGACTACATTTCGACGACACGATTTTAGCCGTATTTAGCTCCATTAACCCTTTCAAATGATTAATGTCAGGGGGTTTTAAAGCATGCGAGTTGTTCGTGCTCGAACAAGTACTCGGAAGGATGTTTTGAGATCCACAGTGACCCTATCAAGCGAGGTTTTAGTAATAGATGTGCGCGCAATTTCGTTTTCTTGCTTTAAAAGCCAACTGGGAAAGTGTTCTACAGATCTGACTGCCAATTGTCGTTGCTTTCGCCCAATGTGCTTATATTCGCAAGTGCATGTAACTTCATAGACACAGTTTGAAGTGGCGTGCACTGGCAAGGCAGCCTTGGTATTAGAAAGTTCTGCATTACTTGCATGCTTTACATTTGAACCAGGAAAAAGATGTCAGCGAAATTAAATATCGCGTCAACCAGAGGAAAACAAAAACCTAACCTAAAGCAAACTTCTGTTACAAATGATAATAGCCGCAACTCCACCCTGAGACATGAAACTAAACTTCGGTGTTGCTCGTCAACGACTGAGCTCCCTCTCCCCCCAACCACTCGATATGTTGAGGCAGGAGTAG